GGCCCCAGCGGACCCCAGGGCGGCGTGGGGCGGCCTCCTATGGAGCGAGGATGGCTCCCGGCCATCCAGGACGAGTTGGAGCGACCCGTCCTTCTTGCCCACGCAGGAGGCGCCGATGCGGCCGCGGATGGAGAGCCTGAGCCCGGCGAGGCCCACGGAGGCGAGGCTCTCGATGAAATCGATCCTGGCCCGGCGGCTGTTCCTGAGGATCGGGTCCCAGTGCGGCGTGATGGGCTGGATCAGCTCGCTCTCCTGGAGGACGTCCAGCTCGGCCTCGGCCCTGAAGATGAGCTCGTCGGCGTTGTCGAGGCACCTCGGGCCTTCAGTCCCCAGGCAGCCGCGGAGCTCCTGAGGGCGACGGTCACGATGAGATACCTTAAGGAGGTCGGGGTCATACGGCTTCAGGTTCATCGGCTGCCCCGAGTACAGGTCGTGGCTCTCGTGGGCGTTAGCGGGCAGGATGTCGGGCCGTTCTCCGTAATTCTCGATGCGCCGGCTGACGCGCGAGATGATCGAGCGCTGCGCCTCCGTGAGGCGCCGGCTCGAGGAAGGCCGGTGCGCCCGAAGGGCGCGCGATGGGGCGTCGAGAGCGTTCAGCGACCAGATCGCCTCGCGCACACACCGCACTCGCGACCGCGATGCAGGCCCAGCATGGCCGCCGCGCGCGAACACCTCCCCAGACAGCGGGAGGGGGAAGGGGTCTCCGAGACTGTGGCCCTGGATGGCGCGGTAGTCCTAAGCGGGATCAGGGCGGGGGCCGTCGCCAGCGTCGGCGGGCCGCCAAGCTCGCCCGCGCCGGGGCGCCCGCCGCCCAGGCAGTCGCCCGCGAGGAACGTCAGCGCGGAGATGGCGACAAGAGGGGCGCCCGGGCAACAGGCGTTGTCGAGGCATGCGTCGCCAGAGAACCTGCCCCGTTGATCCGGGCGCCCCGGGGCCCAAGGCCCCTACTCGGCGGAAGGGTTGGAGCTCTTGCCGCCCCCGCGGCCTGGGCCCTTGCCGTCCTTGCCCTTGTGCTTGGTGCGGTCGAAGCCGCGCTCCTCGCTCCAGAGCCGCTCTTGCTTCATGATATGCGCCTCGTCGCGGCGAAGCGAGGAGGCCCACTTGGAGGGGGTCGGCAGCTGCATGCGCCCGTCCTCGGCCATCGGCGCCGCGAAGATGCCGTCGAGGTTCGCGAAGTCCGGGGCCTCGGGGCCCCTCCTGACCGCCGACTCCACCTCGAAGAGCCAGCGGGCGCGGTGCTCGATGACCGCGCAGTTGGCGAAGTCGAGCTGGTCGTAGCTGATGGCCTGGTCGAGGCCCTCGCAGATGCGGCGGTGCCTCCTGCAGGCGCCCGACGTGGTGCTGACCCCCGACTTCGCCCTCCAGTCGAGGTGGTGCGCGATGAACACGACCCCCGCGGCCGCGAGCGCCATGACGAGCTCCGGGGCACAGGCGTCGCCGCGGAAGGGCCAGCCAGGCCGAAGGGCCTTGTTGCTGGCCCGCGCCGCGGCGGTCAAGGAGAGCACCGGCGCCCAGTTGACGCGCTCGTCGCCCAGGATGCGCCTGTCCCGGCCAGCGCCCGTCGACTTGAGGAACCGCCAGTTGTCGAGGTCCTCGTCGAGCACCCTCTCGACGGCGACCGTGCCCCCGTCCACGCAGGCGAGACCGCGGTCGCCCCGAATGACGAGGCTGTCCCCGTCGGCGAGGGCCGCCGCTGGGAGCGCGTCGCCGAAGCCCGGGTGGGCCCGGCCGGCGATCAGCCACAGCCCGCCCTCCGGCTGCGCGTCCGCGCCACCGGTGAGCCCGTAGACGGCCAGCAGCTCCTTCGCCTCCCTGCGGACCTGCTGGAGCTCCTCGGGCGTCAGAAGGTCGAAGGCGTAGACCTCGCCCCTGACTCGCCGTGGGAACTCCGAGTCCCGCGTGAGCGGGATCACGCGGTGCGACGTGACGTCGACGAACTGGATGCTCAGATCTGGCGTCGAACAGATCCACTGCCCAGGATTCGGCGTGGCCAGCACCAGCAGACGCATGTGCCATCGGAACCCGTTGGGGTCGTCGAAGAAATCCACCAATATCTGACGTTCTGGCACGTCAAGCGTGCGAGCGGCCATGCCGCCTCCTCAGCGAGGAGGGCGTCGCCTCCGAGAGCCCCGCAGGGGCGGCGGCGGGGGCCAGCGGCTCGTCCGCCAGGGCCGGGGCTGAGGGCGCGTCGGCAGGACGCGCTCGGGGAGCCACCAGGGCCAAGGCGGAAGCCACTGCCGCCCGCCAGGCGGCTCGGGCGAGCACGCTGAGGAGCACGCCCGCGAGGAGGCAAAACAGGAAGAGCCACCAGCCTCCGGCCCAGCCCGCGCAGGGCGCCGGCTCCGGGCACGGCCCGGCGGGCGGCGCCTGAGGGGCCTGCGGGGCAGCCGGCACCTCCGGGGGCGCGGCCGCCGAGAAGGCCTCCACGGGGCAGGCCGGGCACGGCGGCGCGGCCGGGCACACGACCTGCGCACGGGCGAGGTTACAGCTTGGGCAGGGTGGGCAGCTCGGCGCAGCAGGGCACCGCCCGAGGTGTCCGAGGGCAAGGCTGGCGCCGCGATCCGCCAGCCAGGGCCACGTGGAAGGCGCGAGCGCGGCCCTCTCGAACTACAGAGCCAAAAAGAGTTAAGGAGTCGGCATCCTGTCGAGCGGTCGCCCTCGAGAACACAGCAAGAGATGTCAGGGACAGGACACACACACATATATATACATACATAAACACACACACATACATAACATACATACATACATACATACATACATACATACATACATACATATATATATATACATATACATATATACATATACATATACATATGTGTATATGTGTATATATATATATATATATATATATATATTCCTCTTTCTATATTTTTACAAGCCCGGGCGGCCGCAAAACCCCGCGCCCCCCCCCCCCCCAAACCGGACTCCTGGGATCCTGGGGCTTTGGGACCCTCCGGGCGCCCATTGAAGCGGTCCCGAGTGCCTCAAGAGCGCTCCAAGACAGGCACAAAGCGCTCCAAGACGCCAAAGATAGCCCCAAGACAGCCTCAGGAGCCCCCAAGACGCCCCAAGCGGCCCCAAAGAAGCCTCCCAAGACGGCCCCGGGAGGCCGAAATGGTCAATTTTCCAATGTGTTTTTCGATGTTTTCTGCTTTCTCGCCATTTTAGCTTTCCGACGCTCCAAGACAGAACTAGAGGCCCTCAAGAGCGCCCCAAGATGGCCCGGGGGGCCCCCAAAACGGCCCCAACACGGCCCCAAGACGGCTCTGGAGCGCCCCGAAACAGCCCAAGAGGCGCCCAAGAAGGCCCAAGAGGGCCCCGAGAAAGCTTCAAACGAGCCCCCACAGGGCGTTCAAAAGTACAAACATCTAACTTTCCGCCCCAAGTGGGCCCCAGGAGGCCCCAGGAGGGCCCCAAGAGGCCCCAAGAGGCTTCCAAAGGCCCCGAGGACTCCCAAAAAGAACCCACGAGGCCCCAAAATGGCTCTCCAAAAGGCAGCCAAAACGGCCCCCCAAGAGGCTTCAAAACTGCTGAATCGCCCCACTTGACCGCCACCTCCGGAACGGCTTCGCTGCGCTGCTCCGTTGTTTGCCAGACAGTGGCATCCCACGCAAAACACCAAAATGCTTGAAATCCCGGGTTCGCAACCAAATTCCCGGGAAATCGGTTGCGAACCCGAGATTCGGCATATGTGATCGCAGGGCATCTCCGTTTGTCTCACCCCCATGCGCAAGTCGAGACAGCACGCCGCCCCAATGCGTGCCTTACCTGACCTTACCTCATGATATTCCTCCCTTCGCCGCGCCTCCCTAAATCGTCCTCCACTTCTTTCCCGCCCCTTCTGTCCGACGTTTTGTCTTTCCGGAGCCTCCACGGCCGCTCTCATCGCCGCTGATCGGTCCGCTGGGACATTCTCATGGAGTCCCAGTGGCGCGCGGACCAGCAGAGCGAGGGCGCGAGCAAGTAAGGTGCACGTCCGGGACCTGGGCGCGAACCGGCCGCGGTTCACAGACCGTGGAGGGCCGCGCTAGACGCCAACGCGCGCAAGGGTTGAAGGACCAAGGTGCATGGCGCGAAGCGCCAATGCAGTCTTGTACATATATATATATATATATGTGCATGTGTATGTATATATATATATATATATATATATATATATACATACCGTATATTTATGTTTAACGTCGCCTAATTTCGTGATCTAGTTTTTGCTACTTTGGAATGCTTCAAGATGGCAACACCTGTCCATGTAAGGGACATTACAAGCCGCGGCCTCCGCCGTCGTCGTCAGCGGCGGCGGCGGCGGCGTCGGCGTCGCCGTGAGCGTCGGCGTCGGCGTCGGCAGCAGCGGCAGAAAGCGCTTTTTCTACATAATGAAAGTCACAGATTTGGGCCCCCTCGCCCTTTCGCATCCGGTCCGAGGGCTCCAGAAGCCTAAGATGGCTTCAAGATGGCCAAGAGGGCCCCAAGAAAGACCAAAGATGGCCCAAAGACGGCCCCAAGAGCACCCAAAAACGCCCCGAGAGCGCCCCAAGAGGGCACCAAAAGGCGACCTTGGGGGCTCCAGAGGGGGGAGCGCAAATTGGAACCTCATCCTCTTTGATCGATGTCCACCAAGGTGTTCCCAAGAAGACCTCCAAGGCCCGAAAAAGAGAGCCCCAAGGAGGCCTCAAGATAACCCCAAGAGGCGCCAAAGCGGCCCCAAGATCCCAAAGACACCCCCCAAGAGGCTTCCAAGCGGCCACCAGGGGAGGCACCAAATCCCTGATCGGCCCAACTCGCATGGGCATCGTTGCTGGATGGGATGGTGAGGTTACGCGAAGCGTCAAGGATATCTAACTGGAGCCCCAGACACCATCTTCCTGCGGCATTTGCCGAGCCGCATCGGTCTATGATGGCCACGGGGCCTGAAAAAACTGGGCGAACACGCCCAGTGCGAAAGGACTGCAGCGCCTGGATCTTGGGTGGTGGCTGGCGACCCCCCGGGCTTCCAGTCCCCGGTGATGGTGAGCACGAAACACAGCGCGAAGCCCATACAGGTCAGCCCAGGCAGGATGCCCCACTCCAGAGACCCCAGCCCGCCGAGGTCGCCTCGGCCGAGCAGGATGTCGTCCACAGAATCGCCGTCCTGCATATTGGCGAGCACGAGAACAGCGTAAATCCGTCATCCCCCGTGGGGCAGGATCGATCAACATCGAATCGGGAAATCAGATCGATTCGGAATGCGCGTCGGGTCGTGCTGCATCGGCACGGGATCGGAAGCAGACCGGATCGGTCGAGCTAGGATGCAGAACAGCGCCATGCAAGCATCGGGCCGCATCGGATCGTCAGAATGCCAGAATCGAATCAGATCAAGCGAGCCTACATCGATATCACATCGAATCGGTGGGATCGAAATGGTGCCTGCCTTGGGGGCGCAAGTCTGTGGAACAATTGTGCTGGGCTTTTGTCTTGTTCCCCAAACAGTGTCTGCACTCAGGGAGTTCTTACTTGCCACAAAAGACATTGGACGGGTGCGAGCGTCGCCACGTTCTGGCCCGCTACCACCTGTTACCAGTTGCGCGGGTGTGTGTAAAGGATGCGCAACGTTCCCGCCCGATGCCGCAAGTTTTCCGCTTGGGTGGGTGCGTCGAGGATTCGCTGCGTTCCAGCCCGTTGCGGCCCGTCGCCGCCTTACCAATTGGGTGGGTGCGTCGAAGATTCGCAACGTTCCAGGCCGTTGACGCCCGTTGCCGCCCGTCGCCGCCCACGTTCCGGCCCTTTGCCGCCAGTTGCCGCCCGTTGCCCCCCGTTGCCGCCGGTTGCCGCGGTTGACGCCAATGGCCGCTTGTGTGGGCGCGTCGAAAACTCATCACGTTCCTGCCTGTTGCCGCCCGCCGACGCCTGTTGCCGCTCGTTGCCGCCGTTTGCCGCTTGGGTAGTGCGTGGAGGGTTCGCCACATCAGGCCCGTTGCCGCCCGTCGCCGCCCGAGTTCTAGAACGTTGCCGCCCGTTTCCCCCGGTTGCCGCATGGGTAGCAGCGTCGAATATTCGCCACGCTCCAGCCACATAGTTTCCACCACATGCTCCTCCGCATATTCTACACCACATAGCTTGCACCGCATAGCATCCACCACGCAGCCTCCCTTTCGTAGCTTCCACCACGTAGCTTCCACCACCAGAGCGTGAAACATCACAGTTTGGGGTCAACGCTGGAAAAAACTTACTGTGCAAGATCTGTACCCAGAGTCGGAGAAAAAAACCTACATGCCGCCACGCTGGTTTCGGGCAGGCTGCGCGGTCCGGCGGAAGGGGGCGAGGAGGGGAGAAGCAGGCTGACGACGACGAACGCCCAGGCGGGAGGCCAGGGCCGGCGGGGCGGGCGGGCAGGCAAAAAAGGGCCAGGCGGAAACAGCAGGCAGGGAGCAGGAGGAAAGGAAAAGGAGGGAAGCAACGAGCAGAAGGAAGAGGAGGAGGAGGAGGAGGAGGAGGAGGAGGAGGAGGAGGAGGAGGAGAAGGAGCAGCAGCAGCAGCAGCAGCAGCAGCGGCAGCCACAGCAGCAGCAGCAGCAGAGCCGGGCCAAGGGCCGGGAGGGAAAGGCCACCCGCGACGAACCTACGGACACTACGGCGGCGACACGGGGGTCGGTGCGGGCGTCGGGAAAGGCGTCGGGGGGGGGTCGTGGGCGCATGGGCGTCGGGAAGGGCGTCGGCGGGGTCGGCCGCGGGCGTCGGGAAAGGCGTCGGGCAGGGCGTCGGGGGGGGGGCCTTGCCGAACCCAGCACGCTGCAGCTTGGTGGGGGGGGGAACCTCTGCGGTATCACCCACCGCCCCGCCGAGGAAGGGGCGGCCGGCAGTGCGGGGGGGCGCTGGCACGCCATCCGCGAGAAGGGGCACGGGGGAGGCGCCCGCACTGCCCAGCCAGGGCGGGGGGCGTGGGCACGGGGCGTTAAGAAGCGCCCGGCGGCGCTCACGCGGCGTCCGCCGTGGAGGCCGCCGTGGCCGCGGCCAGGCGGGCCACGACCACTCCCGCCCCTCCCGACTGTGTCTGGAGGCGCCGCAACGCCGCCCGCGCGTTCTCCCAGTGCAGGGAGACGGAGAGTCGCTGGGTGGTCCGCTACCAGAGCGGCGTCTTCCCCCGCGGCGCCAGCCACGCGCTTGGCCAGGGCCCCGAAGGCCCTGCGCGCCTCGCGGCCCCACCCGCCGCCATGGGCCTCCACCACCATGGGGATGGAGGTGAAGCCCTGCTCCGCGCACAGCCGCGCGGTGTCCTGGCGCTGCCTCTTGAACTCCTCGCATCGCTCCGTCGGCGCGCTGGGCGACGCGGCCGACGCGGCGGCAAAGTCCCAGGCGGCCGCCGCGCCGTTGCGCCACCTCGGCAGGTAGACGTCGGCGGGGCGGCGGCCGTTGTCGTCTACTTGGGGCCCGCCCTGCTCGCCCCCTGGGGCGGCCCCTCCGGCGGGGTGCGCGGGTGGCAGCCCCGGGCGCCCCAACTCGGCCCAGGCGTGACCAGCGGCCGGGGCGTCGAAGAAGGCCCGGCTGCGCAGGGCGCCGCGGCGATTGGTCCTGTCGCGGCGGCAGGCGCAGACGAAGGCGCGGTCGCAGTTGACATCCATCCCCTCGCCACAGGCTGGGCAAAAGCACTCCTCCTGCAAGAGCTGGGCTCGCAGCCGCCTCTGCAGGCCGACCCGCGTGAGACCGCGCGGGAAGGCGGTGCCGGCGGCCTCGCAGGGCGGCGCCTGGAGCCACGCAGCGGCGCCCGGGGCCTGCGCCAGGGAGAGGCGCGCCTTGCCGGCCAGGGGCGGCGCCCGCCAGGGGCCCTTCGAGCGTGGCGCTGTCCACCGCGTCGGAGAGGGCTTTCTGGTTGCTGTGCTGGGCGTGGTCGAACGCCACCTTGTCGGCGCCCCGCGCGACTGCGTTGTGGG